CCTGGGTGGCTCAGTCGGTTGAGCGTCCAGCTTCAGCTCAGGTCATGATCTCACGGTTTGTGAGTTTGAGCCCCGCGTCGGGCTCTGTGCTGACAGCTCGGAGCCTGGAGCCTGGAGCCTGGAGCCTGCTTCGGATTCTGTGTCTCCCTCTCTCTCTGCTCCTCCTCTGCTCATGCTCTGTCTCTCTCTCAAAAATAAATAAATAAACATTAAAAAAAAATTAAGAACAACAACAAAATAAGCCCACTAGTATCCTTGTGTTACACGTGTCTCACCACAGTTTAAAACAATTTTTTAAATTAACTCTGCTGATGAACACCTGGGTTGCTTCTAGCATTTTGCTGTTAGGCCAGTGCTGCTCTGCGTGATCCTGAGCCCATCTCTGATTACAGGTGCGAGTTTCTCCAGGGTCATTCCCGGGAGGGGAATCCCTCCACCGTAAGCTCAGGAAAGTGCTTAACATCGAACCGTACCGTGTTACCCCTGAGCTCAAAGACAGGAGCTCTGCACACTTTGACCTCGTTAAATCTCAGTCCTGAAAGAGGTGATTTCATAACATACATGTTTTCAGGTAAATGGAAGTGAAGTTCAGGGGGGGTTGAGTAAGTTGCCGGAGGACGCACAGCGCACGCAGGGCTGACCCGAGAGGAGCTCACCATTGATGCAGCCAAGCTCGTCGCTCATGTCCTTACAGTCATATTCCCGGTCGCACTGCCGGCTGCCATGGATACAGGTCCCATCCGAGCACTGGAACTCATCAGGTCGGCACGTGGCGACAGCTGGGAAAGACAGGGCACATGTTGGTTTTTCTCAAGGGAACCCCGAAGACAAAATAAACTACCACCTTTATTGTTTTGTCTTAATTTTTTTTTTAATGTTTATTCTCGAGAGAGAGAGACAGAGACAGAGACAGAGTGTGAGTGGGGGAGGGTCAGAGAGAGAGGGAGACACAGAATCCAAAGCAGGCTCCAGGCTCTGAGCGGTCAGCACAGAGCCTGATGCGGGGCTCGAACTCACAAACTGCAAGGTCATGACCTGAGCCGAAGTCGGTTGCTTAACTGACTGAGCCCCCCCGGGCGCCCCTCAACTACCACCTTTAAAACAGCAATTTCCTGGCTGCCTTGGGCATCAGAGACAGCCTGTAACAGGAAAGATATTAGCAGTGAAAAAACACACTCTACGACCTCCATGAGCAGGAGACGGTGCCTCGTCATTTTACCTGCTTCTCACCCCAGGAACACCAGTCTTCATATTCAAAATTTTAGGCAATGTAGATTTATTTATTTATAAATGTTTATTTAATTTTTTTAAAGTTCATTTATTTATTTTGAGAAAGAGAGCACGAGCAAGCAGGGGAGGGCCAGAGAGAGAGAAAAGAGAGAGAATCCCTAGCAGGTTCCATGCTGTCAACATGGAGCCCGATGCGAGGCTCGAACGCACAAACCCATGAGATCATGACCTGAGCAAAGATCAAGAGTTGGACGCTTAACCAACTGAGCCCCCCAGGTGCCCCTGCCAATGTAGTTTTAAAGCTTCTTTCATGGCAGCAAGTACTGTTCTCCTCAATGAAGAAGAATCCCGGAAAATTATTACCGAAGTCACAGAGCAACGTTTGGAAAATAGGAAAGTGGGGTGGGGAGCACCCTAATGCAACCAGTGAGTTTTCTGGGAGTCCTCTCCACTCTTTCCACATACTCGTTTTTTCAGAACACATAACTGTTTTTTTCCAATTTTATTTTTAAGTAATCTCTACACCCAAAGTGGGGCTCGAACTCACAACCCGAGATCAAGAGTCCCACACTGTACCAACTGAGCCAGCCAGGCGCCCCAAGGGCACGTAATTTATTACAATGCTGGAAGAGCCAACAGGCCACTCTCAGCAGAAAAGCAATGGCATGTTCCCAATCGGGAACAGAGGCAGGACAAATTATGACCGATGCTATCAGCATCACCAAGTACAACACGGCCCATCACTGCAAAACAGCTCCAGAGTTTACAAGACATGTGGGGAAAAAGACAAATTTTTCGTTTCTGCAAGGGACCAAGGCACTGGTTACTCAGCCTTTCTGGGCCTCAGTTTCCCCATCTGTAAAGAGTGGGGGAAGCCTGCTCACAAGTTATGAGAATTAAGTTAGTTTGTGTTAAGTTTTAGTACGGGGGCGCCTGGGTGGCTCAGTCAGTTAACCATCCAACTTCAGCTCAGGTCATGATCTCAAAGGTCCACGGTTCGATGCCTAAAATGGGCTCTGTGCCGATAGCACTGAGCCTGCTTTGGATTCTCTGTCTCCATCTCATGCCCCCTCTCTGCTCACATGCCGTCTCTCTCACAAATAAACAAACATTAAAAAAAAAAAAGAAAATTTTAGTACAGATCATGTACAAAGTCATCCATTATTTTAAAATGTTACTTTTCGGGTAGCCTGGGTGGTTCAGTCCGTTAAGCATCCAACTCCTGATTTCATTCAGCTCAGGTCATGATTTCACAGTTCATGAGATCAAGTCCTGTGTTGGGCTCTGCGCTGTCAGCATGGGGCCTGCTTGGGATTCATTCTCTGTCTCTCTCTCGCTCGCTCTCTCTACCCTTCCCCCACTCGTGCTCCAGCTCTCTCTCAAAAATAAACATTGACAAAATAAGTAAATAAAAAATAAATAAGAACGTGCCATTTAGCGGTGCCTGGAGGGCTCAGTCAGACCTGCATGTGACTCTTGATCTTGGGGTCATGAATTTGGGCTCTACGTTGGGTGCAGAGGTTACTTAAAAAAATAAATAGGAGACTCTTAAATACAGAGAACAAACTGAGGGATGCTGGAGGGGTTTGCGTGGGGGGATGGGCTAAATGGGTAAGAGGCATTAAGGAGGACACTTGTTGGGATGAGCATTGGGTGCTATACTTAGGGGATCAATCACTAGAATCTACTCCTGAAATCATTATTGCACTACATGCTAACTTGGATGTAAATTAAAAAAATAATTAAGTAAACAAATTAATAAATAAATACGGGCACCTGGGTGGCTCATTCGGTTAAGCATCCTACCCTTGGTTTCTGCTCAGGTCATGATTTCACGGGTCATGAGATCGAGCCCTGTGTCGAACTCTGTGCTGACAGTGAGGAACCTGCTTGGGATTCTCTCTTTCCCTCTCATTCTGCCCCCCTCCCACTCTCTCTCTCTCAAAATAAATCAATAAACTTTAAAATAATTTAAGATTTTTTTCAAGCAACTTTTTAAAAGTCTAATTACATCTCCCCAGAGATTACCACTAGGGAGAGCTCACCTGGGCAAAGATACCAAAGAAACAGGAACATGAAACCCTGGTCTAGATTCACAGGAGCTCTACATCGCTAGTTTTATGACAAGGAAGCACGGACACAGGGCCTGGGCCTGGGCCACACACCTTTCATCTGCACGGTCTCCGACACGGGAGCCGCTCACCACGTGTGGCAACTTAACTGTCAATTCATTAAAGTGAAATAAAACAAAAAACTCCACTCTCTGGTCACACAAGCTCCACTGGGAGGCAAGGACTGCTCTGGTCAGCACAGACGTGGGACGTCTCCACCACCACAGAAAGTTCTATTGGGACGCACTGGACTCCAACCGAAACCTGCAAAGTCCAAGGCCTTTGCCCCATTCTACTGGGGAGGAGAACACAATGCAGTGAGGTTGGGTCCCTAGCCAAGGGTCACAAAGCTTGGGGGTCACCAGCCAGGCCTGGAGCCCAGAATCCTTTCTGGACCACAATAATACTGCAACATGCAGCTTGCTCCCTTGTAGGAAAAAGAGCTTATTGTGTAAGTGTTAAAGACAGAGTCTCCTGGGGGTCTTGGGGGGCTCACTCAGTTGGTTAAACGTCTGACCCTTGATCTCTGCTTAGGTCACAACCTCGCGGTTTGGGAGTTCAAGCCATGTGTTTGTTGCCTGCTCCGGATTCTCTCTCACCTGCTTTCTCTCTGCCCCTCCCCCACCCCTTGCAAAATGAATAAATAAACTTAAAAAATTAAAAAAAAAAAAGCCTCCTTTTAGGGATGCTCTCTTCTCCAGGTGATCAGTAACACTGGAAGAAACACGAAACGAGATGGACTTTCTTGCTGTGTGATCTGAAACTGTTTAACCACCAAAAGGCCCACCCGTCCCACACCAGGGGGGGCACAGGGACAGGTCAGAGGACCCACCCCCGATGGTGCCCCTACCGCAGTTCTCCTCGTCAGACTTGTCCTTGCAGTCAGGGCCGCCGTCACAGCGCCAGCTCGAGTGGATGCACTCGCCACTGTGGCAGTGAAACTCCAGCGCTGAGCAGGGGTTGTCGTCCCCTTGTGGGGCCGACATGTTGCGGCCCCCGCAGCGCTGCGGCCACTCATCTGAGCCATCCTTGCAGTCCGGGTCACCGTCACACGCCCACAGCTCGGGGATGCAGGCGGAGTTGTTGCACTGGAAGTGGGCGGGGCTGCAGGTGGGCATGGGGCAGGATGCCTCATCGGACCCGTCTAAGCAGTCGCGGTCCGAATCACAGACGAACTCCAGGGAGATGCACTTCCCGTCCTGGCAGCGGAACTCATCCTGGGCACACGTCTTGGGCACTGCAGGGGAAGGAGGGGGATGGGAAAAGACAACGGGGTCACCAGAGAGCCTCTCCTCCTCAGTAGCAGCCCATTCCACAGATGAGGACACCGAGCCCCGGGAGGGGCCGGACCCCAGTCCCATCAAGGTGGCCACTGACTAGGGTTAGACATGTATTTCTAAAGTAAGTGTATGTGGGGACGCTTGGCTGGCTCAGTAGGTGGAGCCTGTGACTCTGGATCTCAGGGCTGTAAGTTCGAGCCCCACCCTAGGTGTAGAGATTATTAAAAAAAAAAAATTATTTTTAATGTTTGAGAGACAGAGCACGAGTGGGGAAGGGGCAGAGAGACTGGGAGACACAGAGCAGGCTCCAGGCTCTGAGCTGTCAGCAGAGCCCCAGGTCGGGGGGGGGCTGAAGCTCAGGAACCCAACGGTGAGATCATGACCTGAGTCCAAGTCGGACACTTGACCTACTGAGCCATCCAGGCACCCTAAAAATAAAATCTTTTAAAAAAAGTAAATGTATGTGAACACTCATGTGCTGTTTT